ACAATTATATAAAGTTATTACTGGGGAAAAAGTCACGGTCTAATTACATTTGTAAAAGATGAGTATAAGGAAGTCATCGATACGAATTTCACAGCTGTGATTGCGGGTACTCACGTAGGGATAGAGTACATGAAAGATCGTGGAGGTGGCGTCATTATTAATACAGGTTAATATTTGTCTGGTCTGCTGAACCAACAAATCTTCGTTTTACTACTTTATTGACAAAGTGTCCTCCATATTTTAGGATCAACCGTGGCCATGCTTGCGTTTCCTCATCTTCCGGTATACACCGGCACCAAGTCAGGAGTAAGTATCTGTCAATCGTCGATCGTAGTTAATCTTGTAAACTTAATGTGCAATTATTGTATTTAGGTAATTGGCTTTACTCGAACGCAACATCACTTGAAAAAATTGTACAATATTCGCGTCAATGCAATCGCGCCGCATCTTGTTGGTAAATATTGAAAAACGATTGTTGCTTTATGGCAATCTGACTCTGTTTCTAAATCTTTTCCACCCTACGTTTCTCCCTCAGAAACACCGTTAATTCCCAAAATGACAAAAATCAACCCAGGACTAATCGACCCGACTTACGAGACGGCTGCTGTGCCTTTGTCTGATGTAGTCAATGGCTTCATCCATATCGTCGAAAACGAAAATCTCTATGGTGATGTCGTTCGCATTTTACCAAATGATCCATTGGCAATAGCGATAAAAGTAGACTTTGAGAGTCCGATGGTTGTATTAAAGGAACTCGCGAAACTGGGATTTGGAGATCTTGTGGTAAAAATGAGGAATGCAGTTGGTAACAGGAAAAGCGAATAACGAGAATACGGTTATAAGGATGATAATGTGGAAATTTTTCAAGTATGTGTAGATCGGAAATATTGTAATGCAAGATGGTATGGATGAGGGCTTGCTCTTAGAAACGCTTGCCCGCCGGATAAAATGAGTAGGCAATTGTTTTGGTCCCTCCCAGATAGCAAGCAGATGACGATTAAAGATGGGAAATTCAGAAATTCAACAATTGTTTGCCAGCTAGCAACATGTATTTCCGTTACTGCATTTGACCTTGGAATTGAGACATTACATATTAACAAGTAATCCAGACTACGCCTTCCAAGTCTGTTCATTCTGACTCTTACACGTGGCCATACATAAATTATGACAATCGTTGATTTTTCTGAGCCCCAAAGCCTCAAACACCTTTTTGAAAACGTACTTCATTGTAAAAATGATTCAGGCCATGTAAAAACGGGGCCAATTCAGCCCCCAACTCCAATTACACGCACTCCGATGAGTTCGTCGATGTCTTGGCTGTGTGGATTGGAAAGTCAGCCCACTCAGATCGCAAGATGGTTGCTTTACATATGAAACAATTGCCACAGCTGATGAATCTCGTGACTCTAACATATAATCACGTCACCGTCGAAATGCATTTAGGCAACACGAAGAATGCACGTAGATTATGAATACTTTCCTTCACATAGAGTCATTGGGCAATTATACTGATTTATGGCAAAGTTAGTATTAGCTATCAAATATTCGTTATTGAATTTGACGTTAAATATTGACACGACCTCCACTAAATTGGTAATGATAATGAAGCGGGGAAAAGAAAGAGCTATTATTTTCAGTTTACTGGCACGATGCGTGTTAAATATTTAGTCAATAATTGGATATTATTTAAATGGTTTATTTAAACTAGTCGTCTTTACTTGTTGTTAGGTAAAGCATTTATTGTGCGAGCGTCATTCGGCAGTACATTGTAAAAAAGCAGACTGTCAAAATAATATGTTTGTCCAAATTTATAAACACTTTAAACTCTCGTACCATTGTCAAAGGAATTGCCGATGGTTATGCCATGTGGTGTTTTAAAAAACAAAGAATTTTTTTGCCTCGAATTAATGTTGTTTCTAGGTAAATTAAGACCCCCTTTTCGGCAATAACAATCACAATTTGCGTTGGTTTGTACTAATGTGATGTTAGTTTCAGCTTCTTGCACTCTACCCCTTTTCAGTAATTCAAATTGGTCGGGCCACTCACGTATTAGTCGTGTTTTTTGTTTTTTTATTCAATAATTTTGCGTCATACTGTCTGAAATGGGTATGACAAAGGAATAATGTTTCAATAGATGAAGACGGTATCATACAATGTTATCAAGGCGCCAGGGATATGAATATTATTTTTCACTTGTGACATGGTTTATTGTGTGGCCTGATTTATCGTTATGCGACGTTGAATTTGTGACTTGATTTGTTGATTTTAACATGGGCTGATTTTGGCGCAACCAAATGAAATTACGTTTATAATAGATTACTATATTTGGGATTATTGAAAAGTAAATTTGTATGGAACTATAAAAGGAAAATCCGTCTAGCATCAAAGTAAGTTGCCGACGGTACTGATTGGTGATTGATTATAAGGCCATTTTGAAATATCAGGTTAGAACCTTTTCAGGTAAAGAGCTAAATATATTTATTTGGTAGAAATTTTACTATCATATATTAATATTTATTATTACGCTCGATAAGTCTTAATTTGGTTACTAGCATGCGATCAAACTAATCATTTAAGTCAATAGAATAGAAACTTATTTTCCCACAGAGCAGAATTAATAGGTAATAATAATAACCGACTGTCTGTTTTTGATAGGCCCATGGTTATTATTAAATAAATTATTTTACAGTTGTTGGTTAGATGGTTTCATAATATATGCCTAAACTTTCAATCAATAGTTATTTTATTCATATTAATATATCGTAAAAACTTGAACAAATCACTTCTTCACCAATTGTTAACATGTAACCACTTGCGTATCACAAAGTTACGTTATTACTATTGCTATTATTAGTTCCGAAATCCGGCCCGATTGGAATAGCCAATAAGCGACATCCAGTCAACTCTTTGTTTACATACTGGCCCGATTTTGACAGTTATGTAAAATATATACACTTACTATTATTACGGTTATCGGGTACCCGTCACATTAAACGTCTGATTAAAAACAACCGTTCTTTTTCGGTTGATCTATTTAATGTTGCACCCGCATCAGTAGCTGTCTTTTATGAAGCTATGATATGTTGATAATTAGTATGCTTGATGCTAGCAATATCGTATCATTTAGAAATGTTGCATCGACGACTTTTTCGATAATTAATTAATTAGTTTAATTATTTATTATTATTATAGATTATCATGAATTTACAAGGGCAAATTACAAATAGATATTAATATGGCAAGTTACGCTATTAGCACTTTATTAATGGCCACTCCTTTTCGGGCAATTCTCTACTTTATAAGTTCCATGTCATCCGTGACCTAATGGTTGTTATTATTATGTACCATTGGTTGCAGTATTTGGTATATAGTACTAAGCTTGAAAACGTTATAATCACCAGTAGAAATCAAAGCTACTAAATTTAAACGTTTTGACCACAGAATGTAATGGTGCAATTTATCGTATGCACTTGAGCAGGTGGCTTGCTCTGCTTATCAAACTTTGTTCCAAATATGGTTACTGATAAACAGTGTTCAATTACCCCTTGTTTTTTTACACCATCACAACGAGTTTGGCGTTACAAACTTTTGTGTGTACTTTTTAAATTCAAGTTTGACAAAAAAGAAGAGTTTTGGTATAGTGTATACATCAAACTAACATTTATTCAGGATTGCATCCGAATCTATGTCTGGAATTCTATTTTGATAATAAGGCTAAAATACATAGCATGCACTGGTGCGTGTTAATCGCAGTTGGTCCATATGAAACAGTGAATAATCCATATTATGTTTCAATAATCCCCTCCCGTTGCAATTTCACAACCAAATACATGCACCACACAGTTTTTATGGTGGATTTTTTTTTAAACTTCGTTATACGCTGCTGCGCTACTTGCAATCGGAGTGTATGCGGGTGGAGGTGGAAGAATGATCTTGTCCCCTTCGTTCGGGGTTTCTTTATAAGCTGGTAGTGGTTGAGATACTTGTCCAACTTCGATAATTATTGAATTCTACAAACGATGGTGAAAAAAGAAATAAACTGTTATCATTTGTACCAAAGTAAATCGAAAAACCGTTTCCCTAATGTTCATCGTTCGTTATGCTTACCCCCGTATAAAGATCTCGCTTCCAATGTACATGTTGAGGATTGTCCGTGATATTAAATTCTATTAATAACTGGTCGAGTTGAGTGTAAAACTGAAATATGTAAAATAATGGGTTTAAATTAGCGTGTGAATGATAAATCAGTCTATTTAACTAGGATACATTCCCTCTATTTCCTGTATCCTTTCCTTGTTCTCGTTGCATCTCCTGTTGCATCTCCCCGTTGCATCTCTCACATCCTTTCGCCCCCACTCATCTTCACCCTCACATCACTTCACCTTCTCCACCGCATTCCCTCCTCTCATATTCTCTCCCGCATTCCCTCCCTCTCGCCTTCTCTCTCACATTCCCTCTCCCATCCCATCTCTTCACTCACCCTCTCTACGGCCTTCTTAACGATGATACTTCCACATATAAGCGTTGCTAAGCCCAAAATGACAATAGCAGACGATATTATTCTAATGGCTGTGGTAGTGAGCTGACCTTCAGTTACGAAAAGATAGATAATCAATGCAATCTGAAATGCTCCCAATGTAAGCGGTATGACATAGCGTCTAAATAATGCTTTTGATTGTGACTTGGCCAGAACGTTTATTGACCGTATTCTTTGTGCGTAGCTTTCCGGAGATAACTTTAAAATGAAAGGAAAAGGTTAGTTGCTGGAATACGAAAGAGCTAATTGGATTTAACCTTTCTACGTTAGCTGTTGTCTAAAAGCTTAAAGCTTACTTACATGTCCTTCAAGCTCGTTCAGATATTCATCGTTATACTTGTCGTTTTTCAGTCGAAGATACAAGACTTTTGCAGACGTATTCGATTCCATGGTGCGTATTTTTTGTTTTGATATGAGATTAGAATGAAATTTATTTTTTCTGGTTTACTATAACTCTAAAAGAATAATAGTGCTCGTGGTGTGTTTTTTTCGTTGGGTATTTATTAAGTTTTAAGTAAGGGGATCATCTCTAATTGTGATGTTCTGCTTACTCATCGAATGCTATCTCGGTGTGTAAGGCAATATATTTTTATATTAGCGAGAATGTTAACTGAATTTCCATATAAAGGCAGGTCTAGACTATTAGAGAAAAGGGGGTGGTGTAAGTACAAAATTGCGTGATACATAACTAATTTTATGCGACACTGTCGTGTCATGTCAAACATCAAAATTAACTTTCTTTGATCTAGCATTATGGGTTGGTGTAGGGGGAGTTATGATAGGGTTGGTGTCATTGCTGTTGACGTTATTGGTATCATTAATATTATTATTATTCGTTATATTTACAACCGTCGATTCCGACATTTGGTTTGAATTCCCTAAAATTAATACGATTGTCTATCGATCACATGGCTGTCAATTAAAAACGTTTTGATAAAAAAAAAAAAGACATTTTCATCCCTTTTCCCTTTTATTCCTCTCACCTTGTGATGTTCATCATAAGTCCATTGAATGTTTTTGTCGTTGTCTTGATCGTTGAGTCGATCCAATATCACTGTATAGTCAATGTCCGACTGTCAAATAAGATTGAACGGTGTCAACTTGACGCACTGTGATGCATGTGTTGGACTTTTCAGTATTTGCAAAACGTTTCATTTACCTTTCGTCTGCAGATCCAAATAATAACACCACAGATAATTAAAACACCCCATAAAGTGACTACCGAGTCAAACACTTTCGAGCTCATAGATTCGTTCAATTTAGACCCGCCGCAAACTCCAAAGGCAATTAAACCCACTCCTATCAGTAATATCATGAACGGCGTTGAATATCTACGACCAAAAAATCGACGGTGTGAATTAAGCCCTTTATTAAGTTCTTCTATTCTGCTATAATAAACGTCCTGAGGTAACTAGAACGGAAGCAGGGAAGGGGAGGAGAGGGAGAAAGGGAATGGAGGAAAGGGTGTTATTCACATATCGATGTATGGTTAGATGTCTGAAAATGGATACCATATACGTTATATCACTTACAATGTCAACGAGGTCTTGTGGGAATGTATAGTCAAACCTATTATGCCTCTTTGTCAATATTATTCTCGTCATCTCTGTTGGTTTCAATGGTAACTCTTTCGTGCTCACAGTATGGTGGTTTATTTACAAAGGAAACAAAATTTTACATGGTTTGGTTTCTTTCGGGTTTCTCGATTTTATACTGTGGGTTTTCGGCATTAAATACTACCATTAATTACCCCATTCGGAAGGCCTGTCGTCACTCCACGTATACGAATCTTTGTAATCGTTGTACTTATTTGCATTGTGTGTCACCTTCGGACAAATATATAGCGAAACAATGACGATAAGACAAACCAAAGTAAATGATGGACGAGGGGGGGGGGGGGCAAATTGCGGGTCTTTCGGCGTGCACACTTACCAAGCAGATGCCTTTTTTTTTTCTCTTTTCAAAACGGGGAAACATGAAATCATTTGGGGGTGGATTATTATACCACCTTATCAATCAGTATAAAAAATAAAGAAGGTCCACCCTTTTGGGAAAGTACTATGATATATGTTACACAATGCATGTGGCAAAGGCCTTTTGTCCTAGTGTCATATGCTTTCTTCACTGATCATACACACAAAACGGTATTTTGAAAGGGGGACAAACGTAATATTAAGAGGCATTTGAACCCGACGGCTTTACTTATTATCCCATACATTTGGCTTTTCCTTTTGTATGCATGCTTTTTATTTGTACATACAAAAATACTACTTACTGGCTGATCGTCGTCCTACAACATGATTTATCGTAGATATGCTCCAATTATATGAACCAATTCGTTAACGATCTACTTGAGGAAAACTCGGATATGAGAGCACAGATATGAGAGAACAATGGGGCGTAGTACATAATTGAGTCATGAAACGAAATTGTTCTCCCAACTGCAATAATGGATAAAAGACTTAAATGCGTCTGTTTGTCTTTTTGTGAGCTGAAACTCTGTATCACCAGTTTATTTGCTTATTGACCGCAGTTTAACGGTTGGGGAAGAGAAATCGATTGGGTGACGAGGTCGCGCATGAGAATGAATTTATAAAGCGACTAAATATGTTAATGACCTGCTCCAATTATTAAATGAGTTAATTGCACGCATTCAGATTATTCAACCATTTGGGACCATTAACTGCCATAAATGTAATCGGTTATTCGTGCAACTTTTAGTAAATAATAATAGGGTTTATACAGTTTACGTAAATCTCTAACATGGGACGTTGATAGTAACTCGGTTAGCGACCTTATCCATATTCAGAAAAGAGTTCGACGCCTTTGTCTTGAAAGGTTTCGGCGGAGCAACAAAAGGTTATCATAATATCCATTCTTTCTGTGTGAAACGAAAGCATTAGAATTCATATACACACTCTGGTATGCAAGAATTTTATACAGGATTAAACATGACTAAAGTAAAACACACACCAGGCAGATGGACAATAAGCGAACGAAGTTTGTTAATGTCTGTCTGTGCAGGGCATTTGTTGAGATCTTTCTCGGGCATTCGTTAAAGTCACACATGCAAATGGGCAAACGGGCAAACTCTGTGTTATAAACAAGTTAGGCACCTATTACTATTACCATGAACAAGTGAGCGTTTCCAAAAGCGAAAGTATATACGTTATGAAAAATAAAATAAAAAGTGTTTTTACAGAATTGATGTGCGGCATTATAAGATGCAATATCTTGTCGAGCGATGGCAAATTCATTTTCACTTGTCTATGGTAATAAAGTAAAAGCATCAGAAAAAATAATTCAACGAACCATATACATATAACCATCAACATCGTTTGTCTTCAAGAGAAGATTTGTCAATCTAAAATACACGTATTGTCTTTATTGACTGGAACGTAACACTTTCGCAATGTGGCGGACTATTCGCAACGACTCGGCAATTTATTCTCATTTCCAATAAAAGACCGAGCTGAAACAATAACATCCGTCTTCCTTGATTTAGTTCATCTGTTGAGGTATGATACAGAAACGTTGCACGTAGAAGAAAAGTTAAGGTGGTATAATGAATTTACTTTGTCGAATAAAATACACACTTTGTGATAAATAGAACATTACTTACATTAATTAGAATAGAAGGGATTGTCCTTCTGTGGCTGGCCATTTCTTTTTACAGAAATTTGAAAGCGTTTATTTACAAATCAACTTATTGTTACACTACAGTTCGAATGCTGCGTATTAGTCATTTGCGAAAACTTGGACTTCAACTGACATTCTACGTACTAATATAAATATACAGTGCGCATTGGGTGAAAGTTTAATCACACAATTTTCGCTATACATAGCATTCGTGCATTTATACTACTTATAAAGAATGGAAAAAGAGAATCAACATGCGTTGTATCATGCGGCTGAACAAGGGCAGGCTGAAGCTCAATATAAACTTGGTGTATGTTATCAATTTGGAACTGGAGTAGAAAAAGATGAACAAAAAGCAGTTGAATGGTATCAAAAGCGGCTGAACAAGGATATGCCAATGCTCAATATAACCTTGGTGCATGTTATCAGGATGGAACCGGCGTGGAAAAAGATGAACGAAAAGCAGCTGAATGGTACGAAAAAGCAGCTGAACAAGGAGATGCCGGGGCTCAATATAATCTTGCTCTATGCTATGCTAATGAAATTGGTGTGGAAAAAGATGAACAAAAAGCAGCTGAATGGTATAAGAAAGCGTCTGAACAAAGACATGTCAAGGCTGAATTTAATCTTGCTGTATGTTATGTCAATGGAACTGGGGTAGAAAAAAATGAAACAAAAGCAGTAGAATGGTATAAAAAAGCTGCTGAACAAGGAGACGCCCATGCTCAATTTAATCTTGGTTGGTGCTATAACTATGGAACTGGAGTAGAGAAAGATGAACAAAAAGCAGTTGAATTGTATCAAAAAGCTGCTGAACAAGGAGATGCCCTTGCTCAAAATTGTCTTGGTGTTTGCTATCAGCATGGAACTGGAGTAGAAAAAGATGAACAGAAGGCAGTTGAATGGTATAAAAAAGCTGCTGAACAAGGATATGCCGTTGCTCAATTTAATGTTGGTTGGTGCTATCTGCATGGAACTGGAATAGAAAAAGATGAACAAAAAGCAGTCAAATGGCATAAAAAAGCTGCTGAACAGGGACATATTCTAGCACAACATAATCTTGGTGTAGGTTATCAATTCGGAACTGGAGTAGAAAAAGATGAACAAAAAGCTGCTGAATGGTATCAAAAAGCTGCTGAACAGGGAGATGCTCAAGCACAACATAATCTTGGTTGTTGTTATTCCTTTGGAACTGGAGTAGAAAAAGATGAACAAAAGGCAGTTGAATGGTATAAAAAAGCTGCTGAACAGGGAAATGTTCTAGCACAATTTAATCTTGGTGTGTGTTATGATAATGGAACTGGAGTAGAGAAAGATGAACAAAAAGCAGTTGAATGGTATAAAAAAGCTGCTGAACAAGGAGATGCCCTTGCTCAATTTAATGTTGGTTGGTGCTATCTACATGGAACTGGAATAGAAAAAGATGAACAAAAAGCAGTCAAATGGCATAAAAAAGCTGCTGAACAAGGTTATGCTGAAGCTCAAAATTGTCTTGGTGCTTGTTATCAGCATGGAACTGGAGTAGAAAAAGATAAACAGAAGGCAGTTGAATGGTTTAAAAAAGCTGCTGAACAGGGAAATGCCAGTGCTCAATATTATCTTGCTTTATGTTATATCAATGGAACTGGGGTGGAAAAAGATGAACAACAAGCAGTTGAATATTATAAAAAGGCATCTGAACAAGGGCATGTCAGTGCTCAATTTAATCTTGGTCATTGTTATCATAATGGAATTGGAGTAGAAAAAAATGAACAAAAAGCAGTTGAATGGTATGAAAAAGCAGCTGAACAAGGAAATGTTGATGCTCAATTTAATCTTGCTCTATGTTATGCCAATGAAACTGGAATAGAGAAAGATGAACAAAAAGCAGTTAAATGGTATAAAAAAGCAGCTGAACAAGGAGATGCTGGTGCTCAATTTAATCTTGGTGTGTGTTATGATAATGGAATTGGAGTAGAGAAAGATGAACAAAAAGCAGTTGAATGGTATAAAAAAGCTGCTGAACAAGGACATGCCAGGGCTCAATTTAATCTTGCTGTATGTTACACAAATGGAACTGGAGTAGAAAAAGATGAACAAAAAGCAGTTGAATATTATAAAAAGGCATCTGAACAAGGGCATGTCAGTGCTCAATATAATCTTGGTCATTGTTATCATAATGGAACAGGGGTAGAAAAAGATGAAATAAAAGCAGTTGAATGGTATAAACAAGCAGCTGAACAAGGAGATGCTGGTTCTCAGAATAATCTTGCTGTATGTTATGCTAATGGAATTGGGATAGCAAAAGATGAAGCAAAAGCAGTTGAATGGTGTAAAAAAGCTGCTGAACAAGGAGAAATTACTGCTCAATGTAATCTTGCTCTATCTTATGCCAATGGAACTTGGGTAGAAAAAGATGAAGAAAAAGCAGTTGAATGGTGTAGAAAAGCAGCTGAACAAGGATTTGTTGGTGCTCAATTTTACCTTGCTTTATGTTATGATAATGGAACTGGAGTAGAACAAGATAAACAAAAAGCAACTGAGTTATATCAAAATGCAGTAAAACAAGCACATGTGTCAATACAAGTTGAATATGGTAGTAGTAAATATTATAGTGTCATATCTGGATCAAATTTTGACAATAGTCTTGTAACTGATTTTTTTCAATCTATGGCTGAAAAAGAAAATGTTTATGCACAATATATTCTTGGCCTGTATTATGAAAATGGAGTTGGAGTAGAAGCAGACATTCAAAAGGCACTTGAATGGTATAAAAAAGCAGCTGAACAGGGATACAGTAAAGCACAAAATAAGATAAATACTTTGAATAAAAATTGAGTGCAAGTGAGAAAAAAAAACTAACATAATTATAAGGGAAATGATTGAGTTATAATAAAGGTAGTCATAAGTCAAAGTAGGTTTAATTATAATAATAATACAGAACATTTGATAAAATTAAATTGGACAATAAATTTTCCAGACATAATTGAATATTTATATTGAGGATTAAATAGCAAGTTTGTTAAAGTATTTTGTATAATAAGGATATGTCAGTTATGTTTTATTTTAATATGTCATACTAACATTGTGTTTAATTATGTAAGGTAGTGCATACTTAAGAGTCTTGCTTATAGACTTTATCAATTAGGTATTAATATACTTCAACACTCTTTTACTTTTTGCAGCATATAACTATTTGCATAATTCACCAGGGACAATTACTCATTTGTTAGCATTATAAAAACTCAATATTAGTCAACATAATAAAATATTGCGCTTCTCATATATCTATTAAGCCGTCATTTCTAAATTTTTATTTAAAAGCAAAAATCATTAATGATTTAATTTTGCTCAAACTGACATATCATGGCAGACGGTAAACAAGCTCTTGATACCTTTGCTTGGAGCGATAATGATGAGTAACGTAAATTATGCAAAATGTTAATATATCTTGTTTTACGTATATATCGACGACTTTTAATAAACGCATAATTATAGTTGCGTTTGTTAATTCTGTGACGTACCATATTGTTGTGCTGGTTTTTCGCAGGCGGTCATATTCCAATCTATAGTTTAAACTCCACTATTTTTGCTTATACTGTACTGCCAATTATTTATAAAGAGAGATAAGGTCGAAGCCAAAAGCAAGCTATAATATTACCTCCGCCCCGTTGTGGCCGTGCTATCTAGTTGTGACGATACTTTGCCTTTATTAAGTCTACCGTACATTCTATCTAAATGTTATTAGCAGTAAGTAAGAACATAGTCAATAAGCGTTGGATGACCGGAACTTTCGGGTAAATTGGTGGATCATCAACGCTGAGTGACACATATACTTTCAGTAATAGAAGCATCATAACACTTAATCTAAAGGTCAACATTGGGGTCTCTGTTTACGTGTCTAGACAAATAATAAGTTTTATTTTTGTCGGGTTTTTATACGTAACCAAAATACTTAGTACGTAAAAGACGACGCATTCTCTTGCTTTGACGCTGTGGTAGTATTTGCACTATATTATTATTGATTAGTTGAATTAAAAGTTTTAAACCTTCGCATTAAGTGCAAAGAAAAACTATAATAATAACAATATTTGTATTTTATACATCTACAAAATAAATAAGTGTATTACTTAACTAATTGACAGTTTAACACGTTGCGAGACATGACTCTCAATTTACAGTTAGTAAATAATTACAAAACGTATATTTACGTAGAAAAAAAACCCTTCATTAATTCATGATATTTGCATTCATTATTTTGGTACTAAATATCAGTCTAGAGTATTCCCGGACATGCTTTTGTCTCTCTATTACAGCTAGCAACTTTGGGGGTTTAACATGGGTTTTTTAATTTTTTAATTTTTAATTATTTGACTTTGTCGTATCTTCCCGTTCTCTCTGTCCCTCTCTCCTGTTCTTTATCTGCCTTGCAGTTTACAGTAGTTTTTTGTATAATAAAACAATAATCTTTGAGTCAAAGTAAACTGACAATTGGTTTGTCCCATAGCATAAAAAGCTCGCAGAAACCAACAGTATAAATAAAAATAAAGTAAATAAATTATTATCTTTTATTTGACATAGTACCGGTATAAATGAATTATTTGACGGCGTTTCTGTAAATTTAGGCAGAGTTTTGGTACAATCTTAAAAATTCGTTTGTGGGCGAAAAAGTTTCGTTAACAATTGTAATCTCAGACATACAACAACGTGAGATTATTGTCGTATTAATTCCACCACAGAATTCAGTTAAACCAATCGAAATATATGCCCAATTACATGTATCAAAAGTGCGTCTTCTGCTTATGGTCATTACCCCAGAATATTAAAGCATATTTACATAAAAGAGAAACAAAAAATATTTGATGTGTTTTCCTTACTACTTGCTTCTGCTGCGATATGTACGTATAACTAACAGATCGACAATGCTTGCGGACTAGTAAATTAAATAGTCTTAAGGTCGTAATGTAATGTTGTCGAAAAATTAATAAAAAGTTGCTTTACAGATCGTGCGTCTATATATTGGGACATTTAATCAAGCCATTTAAATTTTATTAAGCAATTGATTCAGACATCATAAAAGTAATAATTAGGTCATTTAATTAGGAGACCACATTTCATTTCAATTCATAAGTATGTTAGAGAGAAAGAGTCGATTGTATTATCATTCTGCTTTAGCTTATTCATGGTTGACTCTCACGAGCGTAACAAGTAGAGCGATATCGTCAACTTTTCTATAATAATAAGTAAAAAAAGTCCAATTAGAAATAAAACTCTTACTCCAAGGCATTAATATTATTATAACTTACCCTCCCCATCGAGACATGTGATAACAAGCTCTATACTGTTTCACATATGGAGTGTCTCCAGTAGTAGACACGGAATATTTCCTGGCAGTATACGTAAGCCTCATTGCTAAGCTTCTTACGCTTTTTGTAAGCTCTTCAACATCCATGTTTCGAGTATTTCCGTCATTAATTGAAAGCTCTTCGTTCACAATAGAAACTATTTCATCCATGAATATACTATCATACAATCCATCTGTTGCCAACAATATTATATCTCCATCTTGCAACTGGTGCGTTGACTGATCAGCCTCACTAGGGGTATCAGAAAAACAACCTGGTTGATAGAAACGGTCAGGAATTATTGCAAGCTGATAAGGACCATTGAACTGATGTTGCTGCGATGCAGACTGATAATGAACGCGACTATTGCGGATTATGAGAAATGCCGAATCACCCAAAACTGCCGCATTGAGGATTCCCGTATCGTTAGAAAGCGTGAGAATAGACGTCGTTGCGCTGCCTGCATGACATGTATACGTTAATAGCTTATTCTGGGGATTAGAAAGTGCTATTCGAGAGAACAAAGATCTGCAATCAAACCTGCTTCGACTTTCCCACCAGCTTTCGTATTTTCAAAAGCCCTGGTCAACACAACTCCAGCATCAACCATAGATTTGCTAGGATTGTTTTCCGCAGAACCAAGCTCTTTTGCAACGTCAGCTGCATTTTCCATCATGGCCCAGGCAAATGCTGTAGGATCTACACCATCCTAGTAAGTTAATAATAGTCAAAGTAAAGGTTAAGAACAACATGTTACTGAAATTATGTTTGAATACAAAGTCTCGATCGGTTACTTACTGCTCCCCAAGAGCCTACTCCATCAGCTATCCCTTGAATAATGCCATAGTCGGTGGAAACGTGGAAAAGGGCGTCTTCTCCAGCATCGATCCTTTTAGATACTATTTGGTCTAGATTATCATTTGCAGAATTTTGTTGAATCAGCTGGTTCTTTTTGGATGACCAAGCCGCGCTTGTCAAGTAAGTAAAGCTTTGTTTAGTAGTAAGCGAGGAAGCCATGAATAGTGGTAAAGAGTTAACGAAATATTGTGAGTTTGTGCTGGTGAGTAAAAAGTACGCTTATTTAAAAGGAAAAAAAATCTTATGAGGGCAGTAACAAAGTATGTATATTGACAGTCATCACATCAGTTGAAAAAGATGACAATAGTAATCGTCCAGTGCTTGTGTGCATAATTACGTATCGTGCTTCGAAAAGAATAAACATTGATGATATTTCAAATGATATAACAAAGCTTGTATATTCTAATAATATAATTCTTTACTATAGGGGGAGGTTTTACTGCATGACTGCGGCAGCGCAGCAGGCGCAAAGTCTGAAAGTTACATTCCACTTTAAGTAATATAGAATTTTATTGTAGTCATGTGAAGTTACGCGATAGATATAAGATACTGATATAAGATACTGTTTTTTGATTCTGCTGTTCGAAATTACAGTTTCTAAATCAAACCGAGCGTCTTTCACCTGCACATACTAATACCTGAGACTCGTTACTATCATATTTATCCTCATAGATCAAATAAAGAGGTTCCTCGGTAATAACAGAAGTCTCGTTACTGAATCAGAATATACGCAGTAAAAAATTTTTATTGGTATAAATTGCGCATTTTTTTTCTTGTTCGCTGAATCAAGAATGTGTTGTAAAAAACCAACGATTTGAGTGCTTTACCGAGTTTTCCAGTATCACATTATGACCTTGATGTTGAGTCTGACATAAAGTTACAATTTTGTTTGAATCAATTTGTCAATGCAAATGTCCAAAGCCTCAATAAAGACTTATTAAACAAACTCCATAACTAAAGTTAATATTGCTTCTAAATAAGGAATTGTTTGAACTAGAGTTGATCTGCAAAATCGACAAATACAAATTCCGTGTCCTTTGTTCAGCGGTAAGTTTATGTAGAAAGCGGACCGTGACTTTATAATTTACAATCTGGTTGCAGACGACAAAATTAAGTTCAAAAGTTAACGAGTCTGAAAAATTACTATATATCTACACTATTTGCATCATTGGGTCAATAGATGCTTTTCTTGCACTGTCAACCATGGCTCGAGCGTCTCTGTCATTCACACGAACCGTTGCTACGTTTCCATCTTGTAACTAGTGCAACAATTCCCAGCTGATAAGAACACTTTGAAATGCAAAGATGATCGTTGCGAATTAAAAGAAATGTTGAATCACCCGAAATTGTCGCATTGAAGGATAATCCTGACTTAAATTCAATAGACAGTCGGTTAGTTATGTTCCGTCTTGACAATCAACCTAACTGGATTAATACTATAAATGAAATGTCGATCATGCGAATAAAATGTGCTTGATTATTGTGTAACACACATCATATGAACGTTGTGGAAAGTTGTCCAACCGGCCGGTTGCAAGCAAAGTCACTATTATGATAACACAGACTAGATAATTATAGTACCCTTTCATAGTGGTCGGTTAATAGTCGCTTTTAAACGAGTACGTTATCTCGCAACGTCCGAGTGAACGAAGAATGCATTGATAATGAGTTGGGAGTTTGCATGCGAAAGCTTTACACCAGCATCCCTAAATCAACATGGACGATCATCAAAATTATCTCAAAACAGATGTCATATTAATATTGTCAAAACGCAAAAATCGCTCAAACTCGAATAACCACAATTATCATGTGAGCGTGATGGACTTAGTCCAAAATAATCTGTTATTATCGATAATGTTATTACCAAGTCGTGTTCGATCTGTCTATCGTAGCTAGATAACAAATGCAATGGTATATAAACAGCCCTTCAGTAAGACTTACAAAACTAATAAAAAAAATCACGACACACCCGAAACCATTTCGCTGATCAAGACTCTTGTGGAAGTGTTGGTGCTTCATAATGCCCCCAGCCAAAAGCGATGACAATAATACACCCATCGTCGTTAACGTTCTGCCATTATCTAATGAACAGTACAAGGCATCACTTGTTATCTTGGGAATTACCTGCGCTAGCTGTGTATCAATAATTGAGAAAACCATCAAATCGCTTCCATCAGTTGTCGCTGACTCGGTCTCTGTAAACCTTCTCACCGGAGACACTCGTTTTATTTTCACCAGTTCAACTCTCACTTCATCTGTAATTAGAGATACGGTTGAGAGCATAGGATACGATGTGGAGTCAGTTACCGTTAGTCAGTCCGAACTCAAGCACAAGTCGCTTGCTACTTCGGTTTTCAGCAAAGTCAGCAAACCCAAGGATGAAGTTGACTTGGCTCCTGTAACCACTCGACTGGCTATCACTGGAATGACATGCGCTTCTTGTGTCAAGGTTGTTCAAGACACTTTGGAAAAATTACCAGGTGTATTAACAGCCACTGTCAACTTGTTACTAAATGAAGCTTCAATAGAACATGAATCAAATCTGACTGGACCACGTGATTTGATAGATGCAGTCGAGAATGTTGGATATGAAGTCAAGTTAGTAGTAGCGCAATCAAATAGAAACTTGATGCAAGAGAGGGCAATGAAACAAACCCAGCTACTCAAAAAACGATTTTTTCTTTCTCTCGTTGCCGCCATCCCTACATTCGTCATATCAATGATTATAATGATGTGGTTACCAGACGGCAATCCAATTAAAGAGAAATTTGGTACTCAAATTGTACCCGGTTTGGATGTGGCTACCGTTATTATGTTTGTAATCGCCACCCCAGTTCAATTTTACCTTGGTGCTCCATTTTATGCGAAAGCATACAAGTCAATACGCTATGCTCATGTGGCTAACATGGAGACGCTTGTTGCTATCGGAACATCTGTCTCTTATTTTGGTTCCATCGTCTCTGTAATTATAGCAATCTCTGAGAAACGTGGAAATTCTCAAGTCTCCTTTTTCGAGACATCTGTGTTTTTAATCACGTTTATATGGCTGGGCAAATTGATGGAAGCCATGGCCAAAGGGAAAACATTCGAGAGTATCACGAAATTAATGGAACTGCAACCAGAAAAGGCAACATTAGTGGAGACACAAGAAAATGGCGAGGAAACTGAAAAGGAGATTGATTGTGACTTGATACAAGGTAAGCATTATTCGGTAAAAAGTTGAGCTTCTGATACGTTAAATGACTCGAGTTTAATAACTCTTTTCAACTACGTATATGTAGTCAACGATATTCTCAAGGTCAACGCTGGAGCAAAGTTTCCCTGCGACGGAGTAATTATTCGCGGTGTCGCTACTATTGACGAATCAATGCTCACCGGTGAACCGATTCCAGTCGTTAAATCCGCAGAGGACCAGGTATTCTCTGCAACACTCAATCTCAACTCGACAACTTGGATCCAAGCGACACACGTCGGAACAGACACCACGCTCGCCCGAATTATTACGCTTATACAAGAAGCACAAGCGTCAAAAAAGGCACCGATCGAAGTATTAGCTGATAAAATATCACAATACTTTGTTCCGGTTGTGATACTTATTGCAACGATTGACTTTTTAATATGGCTCATACTCGGAGCGACCAATGCGTTTCCCAAAGAATGGATACCGGAAAGTCAGGGTTATCCGGTGTTTGCGTTATTCTTTGGTATTTCCGTATTGGTAATTGCATGCCCGTGTGCAATGGGATTGGCATCTCCGACTGCTATAATGGTCGGCACGGGAGTGGCAGCCAAATTCGGAATACTAATTAAGGGAGGTGGAGAAGCGATACAAATGGCTAGCCGTGTTAACACCATTGCGTTTGACAAGACTGGTACTCTAACACATGGTAGACCGGCCGTCGTCAACTGTAGATTATTCATTAATGATCGAGACAAGGTGCAACAAAGAAAACTTCTACTACACATTATCGGACTGGTCGAGACGGCGAGCAATCATCCACTCGCCCTCGCCGTTAGTGAAATGACTGCTCGCAAACTTGACGAAGCGGGAGAAACCGATAGCGACGTTGTATTAGATGAAGTAACAGAACTGCCTGGAAAAGGATTGCAAGCCACTGTTAGAGTAACGTCTTCACTATCGTCCACGCTTGTTCCGCGCAAACCATCCGAGCGTGCTCAAACTACAAAGTATAACATTTGTATCGGCAGTTACGAGTGGGTTAAATCTGTTGGTTTTTGTTATCCGCCCGGCTTGTCTGAAGAGGATACAGCTGATCAAATCCAAGAATGGCGTGAACAAGGGCATTCCATCGTCGTAGCCGGTGCCACCGTGGTCGGATCGAGCGATCGTTTGATAGTTGCGCAATTTGGAATTGCCGACACTATTCGCCCAGACGCCGCTCATACGGTGAGTCGGTTAAAAGGTATGGGGATAGAAATATGGATGATTACCGGTGATCATCCTACGGCAGCCAACACTGTCGCCCAAAAACTAGGCATCGATAATGTCATTGCTCAAGTGACACCAGAGAACAAGGCGGAAAAGGTTAAATGGCTTCAGCGACGGGTAAGGATAGTCGAATCTTTGAAAACTGTGGAAAAAAAGACGACAAGGGAACCCGAAGGTGATCATGTTTTTGACAAGACCACCGGCAACGAGAGGCCAGTTGTAGCCATGATTGGCGATGGAATTAACGATTCGCCCGCGCTGGCTCAAGCCGATCTCGGAATATCAATCGCATCTGGCACTGACATTGCAATCGAATCGGCTTCCGTTATCCTCGCTCGATCTACGCTAATGTCACTTGTTACAATGATACAGTTGTCGCGGGCGATAATTAAAAGAATAAGAATTAATTTCATGTGGGCGTTTTTGTACAATACTATAGCCATTCCGGTAGCAGCCGGTGTATTCTTTCCTATGGACAAGAAGAGTTTACCGCCCGAATTGGCTGGTTTGACAATGGTTTGTAGTTCGGTTAGTGTCGTGTTGAGTAGTTTACTGTTGAGGAGATTCAAAGAGAAACGATATCAATATTAACATGGATAATTGTTTAATAATAATGATATGATGATAATGATAATGATAATGATAATGATAATGATACGATGATGATAATAATAATATAATGATAATAATGATAATAAATCATGTGAATAGATTTTAAACTGCAAATGTTGTCAAACTTATGTCCGATGGTGTAATCATAAAACATCGAATCGTATCGTTTACAAATCCTCAGCCCGATGACTAATTTTCAAGTACAATGTGCTACCAGGTGTTCCACAATCGATTCTTTGTAATCGCAAAGCTTAGAAATTATGGCAAAATAGATTATCAATTCCGGAGTCACTTAATAATACAGTAAATGTACTGTTCAATGTAAATTCTAGTCGCATGTTATATAAATGTCTGCACTTTCCAACTATAGTTGCACTTGCCAAATGTACATTGTATCGATATGCCATGTCCATCAGGAAAAAAAACCAGGTGTCTACGTTTGTAATCGTGTGCCATGGAAAGGATGTTTCTTATTATTCAGCAAATGGCTGTCCACGTCATAAAGATTACTAATCTACCAACTATTTTGTTTCACAAAGATTTAACACTCGACGATCCTGCCTGATATACGTCCAACAAACATTGATTGTGATACCATGATTGGTATGTATATAAACGACCAAAAGGAGAGGATTTGAAAATTACGAAAACAAAAGCATTTTCATTTCCTGGATTACTCGCATAATGTCTAACGCCAATAACCACCCTGAAGAAGTATACAGTGCTCTCAAACAAACAGACCCGGCTGTGAAAGATCTTGAATATGACAAGTATGCCACATTAGCATCAGAAGACTCGCTCGCTCGTGCCAAGGCCGCACTTGAAGCCAATGGGTTTACCGTCTACGTGAAGAACACTAGAGAAGAAGCTCGCGACTTTTTAAAGACTTTTATTCCGCCTGGTAAATCCATCAACAACGGCCATTCTACCACGTTGGAAGAGATTGGGTTCATCGAGTATCTAAAGGGTGAAACGGGTTGGGACAATGTACACGCCAAAATATTGGCCGAGACCGATTTTGTAAAAAATATGGAATTGAGAAGGACTATCGGTGCTACAGTCGATTACTACCTAAGTGGTGCATCTGCCGTTACCGAGGACGGATCTATCGTAAGTATCAGAAAAACATGTTGTCGATCGTATCTTTTCATCTCGCTTACAATTAATACATTTATTTAGGTTGGTGTCGATATGTCTGGTACACGTGTTGGTGGTTGGATTGTTTCTTCTAACCTAGTCATTGTGACCGGTACAAATAAAATAGTAAAAGACATACCCGAAGCACACCAGAGAGTCGAGAAATACGCATTTGAACTGGAATCCGCTCGTGTTCGAATCGCCTACGGGATACCATCTTCCACTATTGCTAACCAAGCAATTATCAGCAAAGTTTCAAACAGCAGAGTAACAGTCGTATTTATCAAGGATGTTTTAGGATACTGAGTATAAATGCTGTAATTTATTAACAATTTTGTGTATTTTTTTTCCCTTTGTGACAAATAAAACGCAAAGTCCAAGTTATTTTATATCGAAACCAACCGAGTGTTATATTTATACTTTACAAAAATTGGGATAGCGGTAAACATGATAATAACAACAGAAAGCCTATGATAATATGATAATGATGATGATGATGGTGGTGGAGGCGGGGAGTTGTTTGCAAAAAAAAAAAAAAGGGTTCGTCATTCTAGTGACATTAGTTTCCCGGTATCTTTCTTCTGTGCATAAAATCTCGTCGATTGAACCGAGCAACGTCTCTCGTTTATCTCGCGCTTGACTTCTTGCGTTATCTCGTCCCATTTTTCTGCACTAATATTGTATTTACTACCAACAGCTGTGCGCAATGTTTGATAAGCCGCAGCCACATTATCAAGATACTAAAAAAAAAAAGTGTAGCGGTTAGTGTTAGACTTGCGTTCGTTCGTTCGTTCGTTCTTTCTTTGTTACGAGATTTTCACACGCCCAAAACATTAAGTGTGTGACAAAATATTTACCATTTGCGATAAATTTCCTTCCCAGGTCCCAATTGGTATCTGTCGAGTTTCAGATGCCAGCTCCTCAAAGCAACCAACCGAATCCATATAATCTGGTATCATTTCTGTCAAATTCATAGGAATACCCCAGTCTTCTAATATCCCGCTGGCTAATAAAAAGGAGGGAAATGCAATTGAATTAACAAACCAAATCAAATCAAATCAAATCAACCCGCAAACATTACATCATTGTATCTTGCTGTACGTACCTTTGTCTGCATAATCCGCCGTCAGTGGTCCCATATCAGTTAGCGTCTGATCACATTCCATCAACTCGAGCCATCCACCCGGTTTTAGCACTCTCGAAAGCTCTCTCACTATAACATTTTCCCATTGGTCTGCCGTAAAGGACAGATACATCATTCTCATAAACACAAAGTCGAACGTTTCATCGGGAAAGGGAAGTCCGTCGATCACATTGCGTTGTATGAAATGAACGTTCTTTGGTTTGATTTCAGTAGGAAACATTGGTGAGATGTCGATACCGGTGAAAAAGCTTGTCGGGTATTCTGTTGCCATTTCCAGTAACCATGTTGCCGCGCCGCAACTAGAAAAAATTAATGAAAGAATGCAAACTATAATTAATATACATCCAAATTGCAAATTCTCACATGAATGTAATGTGACAATTACAGTTATGTATAACTGTAGGACAAGCAATAAAAGTAATATCCGAATACTTGGACTAAACTATAACAACTAACAAACTATATCGTTAGTGTTAGTTTGTTTACATACCCCACATCTAATACTCTCGCTCGTCCATTTTTTAGCAGTTCCTCGACCGGTGCCGAGTAATTACTTCCATAATAGTATCGATAGGTATAATGTTGAAGATGCAATCTGTCCACTTCAGTATCGTCGATAGGAAGACGATAGATTACATTGTGGCTCACTAAATACCGTCTACCGTCTATGACTTTATACATTGGGTTGATGTTGGCATCTCTACTTGCATACGAGTCCGTAGACACCGAGTTAACTGGCAGTCGTTTTTCTTTTCGAATATGATGTCTGCTCCTTGACTGATGCGCTCCCATGATACCAAAACGATGTTTAAAAAGTTATCGGTCGTTTGTTAATAACTACAATTGGATAAAGACTTATTTACAAGAAAAAATATATATTTGATTTGTTTGTGTGTGTGTGTATGTGTGTGTTTGTGTGAATGCAAGCGAACTGCGAGTGGTGTTTATATACATGTAGGTATGTTCAAAGAAAGGAAGATATTCATGTCTAACATGCGGGGGATGGAGACTTCTAATTCCGTATGAAATTTGGGTAGCCTAGTACAAAGAAATCCTTATCCTTGCGAAGATCGACCAGTCGGCCGCAACTAACCATAAATATACTGATTGTTATCGTGGGTATCAATCGAAACTTAAAGTATGGAATTGTCTCCCTCCTTCTTCTTCCTTATGTTTTACCATAGACGGTGTAGCAATAAACGACGATCGTCATATGCATAGCCAATCATTTATGATCCAATTTTAAACAATAGTGTGATTTATGTGTGTAGTCGAAATATACGGCATGTTCGCACGTGAAAGTTTTTTCACCCCACAAGTTTGAATATAGTAAAAAGGTTTTGTACCCTTTCGCACCCGACGTGATTTGGGTATTATGTCTAATGTTACATGTGCTTGCGCTACACAATAGGCGTCATAAACATTTGGCAATGGTTTAGTTTGGAGAGGAAAAGACTTTTTTTTTTCACGATCAACGTAAATCTATTCGCCTGGTATCTCCACAGTATCTGATTTTCACAGATAGGCTAATGAATTAATTATACTTATTTTTTCAATTTTTATGCTTATCATACATTCATGAAACTTGTCCAATAAGCCATGAAACTTGGCATGTTTCAACTCGACCGTACTGTACTAACTCTTACCCCACACATTTTTTCACGCTAAGCTTAAATGGGTTTTTACGTTGTGGGGGAGCAACACTCACCTAATGGCATCATTATCAAATCCATATTAAGACAAAATCCCTTCCGTCGCAAATTTTCTTTTTTCGTAACGGGTTCATTTATCCTTTAACAACGGATTAACATACCTGGACCATAAGACAAGTTGGCTATTTTTTATTTTTTTTTGAAATCGATGATTTGAATGATTTAATAATAAAGACACTAACCAGTTTTACTTATGAATAACTATTGTTGTGTCATTTAAACCGCCATTTTTGACAATAAATGCGTTGATACTTGTCCGTTATAAAAAAGAAAAAGGTAAATACCTCTTACTTACTCATTTCCCTGAAAGTTAGTCTATCCTTATTCCATATGATCTCAACCACACAACCTTTTCAAGTAATCATACGGCTATCAGGTCAGGAAACTGTATATTTGATATTCTCAACCCCGTGGATTTAAAATTACCTTTTACGTAAATCGATTATCCGTGCACATCCCTGCAAGAACTAAAGGAAAAAGAAGCTTCTTACGTCTTTGTGTGATCCCCAAATGGCCGGTTTAAGGAAAAAACTAGATGGTGTGCTCGTTCTATTTGATTCTGTCGGCCGAGCTATTCAACTGCAGAGCATCTATATACATAAATGGTTAACACAAGACTGATCCGTAAAAGGTCCGTGTGTTGATTAATAATGTTATTCGACATATTAATTAGTACAAATAAAACAATCTTTAATTAAGTTTATTGTTTTACTTAAAAGTCCATATTACGTAATATGATACATTTTTCAGGATCTAATCTCTGTCACGATACGCAAGTTAATATAAACAATTATTGATATGATTTGGTGCGTTGTGATGCCTAATCATCGGTACTGACGTGTCTCTTTCGCTATGACAAACGGTCTGACAAAGATGCATGAGCGCTGACAAACTTGCCATAGAAATTTGAAGTTGCTAAATTTTAAATTATAGCTACACCGGTTTTCACATTCCTTCAATAATTATCAATAGTGAGCAGTTCTCTATAAGCAAATTTACTTTAACAAAAAGCATATTCATTTACCGTTACTCATTCTTGTCTGGAAATGGTTAGTCTATATCGATAAGGGTCTCATGATAATTGTCATCATCAAATGGTAGCAAAGGAAGATCGTATTAATTATTGTAAAAAAAATTACGACAACGATACTCTTCCATTCTGTCAGAGTGTAGCAGATTGAAAAGAAACAAAATAGATGCCTTTGCTGCCATTTAGCAAAAGCCAAGTCAGTTTCAGAAAAATGTTGATTTCCCGATCTTTCGTTTTTCGATAAAAGAATTGGAAAAATAATTATACGCTACTAGAAAAGAGGAGATGCCAAGAATGAGATAAAGAGAAAGCAAGTTGGATAAAGAATTAGAAACCGAAATCTCTCGATGAACAAAATGGACAATCAATTGCTCAAACAAAAGGTCGAAATGTTGAACGCAATACGACGATAAAAGCGGGGTTGTCGAAACGAATTTTGACATTTTGAAGGAGAAACGTTCTGCCTACACAGATGAATTCATCGAAAAACTCGTATCGGTACCGGCATCGGTTAAAGTTTTGACGTATTTTGCAAGGTGAATGCGTAGCATTAAGTTATAGGATGACCGTTTGCGTCACATGTTCATTTTTGTTTCAAATTATTTATTATGTAATTCATTACCAAATACACTGGGATTGGATTGGATATCCCATATCATATGTGATGGCTGGCTTAAGCATATAGGTTACACTGATCCTCGGTTTGTTTTTTTTTCTCTTTCGAAGTTTCTTATTGGTATACAGATGTGTGAAAAACTGAGTAATATTACCCATTGTCAGAGTTACATACCAATAGTAATAGATCGACACAATCATACTCGGAAAGTCTTTGACTACAGACCAACTATTCTGGTCCGATGTAATTGATAGATGTGGGCTGTTTTATTACTGTCCTATTACAGACTTTCTTTGCCACTACCTCAGAGCACCCGAAAGTACCGTAAAAAAAGGGGGGGCACGGTAGGACCAATCTCTTCGAGTGAAATTTGAAACCTCCTAAAATGGAAAGGGGTTTGTTCAAATGAGAAAGTGTAACGGAAGATTTACATAACCTCATCTCAAGAAGCCAATATCCAGCTAGCATATATGCATATTTTTCAATACATACATTCTATCTTTCCGGCTGTAAAGAGTATGAATCATTGAGAAAAATCGACAACTTTTTGTTTCATGTGGAATGTAAGATGTTTTCGCTTTCGTTTACATGCAATCCTCTACAAGACGTCTCCAAGGCATAAAATCTTGGTTGCCACTGGTTTTCCATTTTTAAATAAATAAACAAACAAGGGCCATCACGTTTTTACAAGCCAAGCGTATGCTGTTGATCCCTACAAAAAAGCTTGCATTACAACACTCGCTATGGAAAACACCCCAAAGAAATTCTCGCCGAATAGAATTGCGGCCAAGGACCAGTTGGAAAGCTTAAATCCGATTAAAGCGAATAAGTTCAACTTTCTTTTTACAAAACTGTCTACTAATCGTGATAGGGCCATTATTAATAACCGAAATTTATATCTCTCTCCTTGCACTTAATAATAAAAAGTACGAGGTCAACTTTATTATGTAAGAGTCAAGTGCGAATTCTACAGTGTAACATGTCCTTGCGTCAATGGTGTAAATTATGTATAATAAATATACAGTTATGTGATCTTATAAATAAGGCTCTGCCCGGTACTAAGCTTACAATTCAAGCCAAGCATAACGGAAGCTAGCAAACTCTTTCTTTATGATTATAATAATTAAAAAAAATTCTATTTACCAACTTTGTACATATACATTCAATTAACGACATTTGATCCGGAAACCATTTTAATATTTTATAATAGCTATTCTCAAATATTCTTCTTTTTCTTTCCTAAATCTACAAAATGACGGCTCCAGCGATATACGCTCTTGTCACGCTTAACTTTGCATCCTTCATAGGCGCCACAATATTGGCCATAGGATTCAGTCGTGCAAGAAATAATCCGACAATGGTCATCGTCTCAGTGACCATTATGTTTTGTAGCTGTGTGGATTTTATGGGGGTTATATATGGGTTTGATTGGACCAAAGCTCCCGAAGGAGTTTGCTATTTCCAGGCAATGGCGGTAAGTTTTTTACGCACAAAATTCAGAGTCTAATCTTTAAATACGCAAATTTTAAACACTTCTTTTTTTGCATTTTACAAATAGAGACAACTCGCGGGATTTTCATTGTGGACTGCCGGATTTTGCTTCACCGTTCAAACATACCGTCTTCTTGTTTTATATAAGAGAGACGACAGGTTGAATCGGTATTATTACGGTATTATACTTTCGTTCTGCACGGTCGGAACGTTGTTAGTAACCATTGTGTCGATCAAGACAAAGGCCGTAAAAGCAGGAAATTATCGTTGGTATGGATTTCATTCAATATACCAGTTTTAGTTGCTGACGCATTAAAATTACACCGTTTTATTCACAATCTTGGTCTCTACATTACTAGTGATATAGTCGATCCATCTTGGGTTCGTCTGCTGGGAAGCAGTGGTGTAAGCATACTACTACTTCCTGGAAGCACATACTTTTCCGCCGTTGCGACGTATGAGATAATAATCCAGTTGGGCCGGTTCAAAGTACAATCAAACGTTTCCAAAAACACTGCAATGCTCGCGCTACAGTCTACCAAAAAGTCGACAGCGGATATTGAAGCCGATCATCCGCAAACGTCGTCTGATGAACAAAGCATTGATTATCGCGCAAGTAGTGATAAGCTGACGATGGCGACGAGCACATTACAACAACCGGACAAGATTAAAGTGCAAACAACAACGACAACAACGACGACGGCAGATGTTACCGAACCCGTTAATGACGAAAATAAACCTGACACTATCGTGCCAGTTGGAGATGTGCAGGACAATAATTGGATGGGGATGGGTAAAATTTGTAACGTCACTCAAACTGCTGCGTTCCGTATGATACTCTTTTCTATTATGTACTTTCTTTTGAATCTGGTTTTTACCATCGAAACCATCGTGGACAGTTTCCGGGACGTACCATTTGATCCACGTCCAAATTGGACAGAATTCGCTAGTGCAATAATAGGGATTATCATTTTCTTAATTTTTGGAACTGCGTCTGATGTCAGACATTGGCTTGGTGAAAAATTGACACAATCTTTTAGACGTCACTAATAGTAAAGGGTATATATTTGGGGTCACATAAAATATTACATGTCATGTAAAACAATAAAATAATTTGCTTGTAATTTAATAATAAAATGGACGCTTCGGATGCTCGGGATCGACTAATATTAAAGCGTTGCAGTGGCAGATAATATAGGATGAAATTCAAGTCTTTTAATAACATCGATTCTATTGAAAACTGTACAAGTATACTCAGTATACCCAGTATACTCATCATAGCTCATATCGAATATGTGTAATTAAGAGTTTAACTTGCATGCATTAGAAAAGAGCTTTTGTACCCACCCTATAAACATGAGCCGTGCCATTAACAATGCTCGTCGCTGGATGTGTTGCCCCTTTCATAAAGTTCAAAAACTTTAATTGGGAAGATAAGATGACAGTAATGGTATACTGTTTGTTACAGTAAATGAACATTTTTCCCTCTCCAATCTCTTTATTTGTTAGACAAAGAGAAATCCGCAAAGTTATGAGATTGTTTGATTTGGTAAGCTACTTCTAACAATTTCTATGAGCGCATGTATTACCATTAATATAGAAGTGACATGTGTACTCATGCAGGTTTCATTGTTTCGTCGGATAAATAGAACGATTTGATATTCGGGAAGAACTATGACTAATAATGCATATGATATATATTAATCTTATTAAACATTTAACATTAACATCCGATATTGACACTTGTTCCGTGTCCCTTGCATTTCCCGTTCCACAAAAAATTCTGTTCTGTACAATTTTTTGCCCCCTTGTACCGATGTGCCAATAAGAACATTTGTTGACACTTGGTGCAACGCTAACGTTAGCAAACAATTTTGAACAGACACTTTACGTATGTCTTTACGTAAGCAAGACGATTACCCGATATCTTCACTAAGTAACAGTCGATTGCTTAGTAACTACGTAGAAATTCGTTCGAAAGTCGCAATTTATGTTGGTTTGGACTTGACATACTGTATGTCAAATTTAAATAGTACAGAGAACAAGATAACGATACCACTATACAATATGAGCTATACATGTAGTAATCAATGAGATAGTTATGTGCTAAAATTGATATGTGAAAACAATATTGCTTTGACTAGTTTAATAGATATCGAGTCCCAATCGTTTACTTACGCTTTTTACCAAGCTCTCTACTCCTTAGCCAACCTCTTGATCACCACGGTAAAAGCGTCTGCTCCCTTGTCAACCGTTTGTTTCAATTTACCCTTACAATTAGGTACTAGTATGCATATCACATGGCCAAAAACTTAAGGCAGAATAAAGTAGAACACATGTTGGGACAATAACCAAACAAGGTAAATTCTACATGTTAATTCACGATACTGTGCACTACATTTCCAAAAATAGAAGTATATACCGTAGAATAATATAATATTTTTATAGAATTGATGTGCGGCATTATAAAATATCTTGTCGAGGGATGACGAATTCATTTTCACTTTCGAATATAACCATCGTCAGTCTTTCAGGGAAAAGTTCGTCAAATATAATTGTCCGGAGCAAAGCGAAGTCTACGCACTGTGAAAAATTCGATCACATGAATTTCTCTGTGCGGCACATGATCTCGACCAATGATTGTGATTGATGATGATGACGTTATTGATTGCTCCGGACTCGTTTCCTAGTATATACGCACGGTCAGTCTTTATCGAACAATTTTCAACGACTCGGTAATTTACTGTATATAGCTTGTTCCGCTCCCCCCCCCCTCCCCACCACCAAAATTCGAATGTAGACAATAAAGAACACAAATCTCCACCAAAAATTCGAAATTCGATATTTCCAAACGAAAAGCTGGGCTGACAATAAGATTCATCACCCCTGTTTCTGACAAAGTTAAGGTTACTTGGCGTTAAACCTCTCTTATTCTTTTATGCTCGCCGTATGATACGTAAACATTTGCAAGTAGAAGAATTAAGATGATACAATAAATTTATTTTGTTGGATAAAGGTCATTGTACGATGGGTATACGTTTTCGGAATTCTTCGTATCGTGTGGCTCGCTCCGTATCGGTATGTTGTGCTCGTTTCTTTTTACGGAAAATTTTTGAAAGCGTTTATCACATGATCACAGGAAAGCCGGGCGTAGAAACGATCAACTTGTTACATTTCGATTCTGTGTATTTAACTGACTAATATTAATAATACTGGTTTTCGCTATATATATACATAGTATTCGTACATTTACTGACTACTTATACGAGAATGAAAAACGAGAATCAACATGCGTTATATCATGCATCTGAACAAGGGCACACTGAAGCTCAATATAATCTTGGTGCATGTTATCAATTTGAAACTGGAGTAGAAAAAGATGAACAAAAAGCAGTTGAATGGTATGAAAAAGCAGCTGAACAGGGGTACAGCAAAGCACGGAGTAAGGTGTATACTTTTTATAAAAATGGTGCAGAAGTGAAGCAAAACATAAAGGAGAAGATTGAATTGTATAAAAGCAGTCAAAAGTAGAAACATTTAATGCAAATTACAAGAATTTAGTTGGATAATAAAACTTGCCGGACATGATTAATATTTTATTATATTGAAAATTAAATTGTAAGTTTGTTAGACTATTTCATATAATAAAGACATATCAGTTATTATATTAATATAGTAATAGCATACTAACATTGTGTTTGAATACTCACAAAAATTTAGCAGTCTTGCTTACATGCCTCATCAATTAGGCATACCCAACAGTCCTTTTTACAGCCTATAACTATTTTGAATAATTTACCAGGGACAATTATTTATTTGTTAGAAAAAAATATTATTATAAACACCAAATATCAAATCAAACATGGTAAATTTAATGAAAATTGCGCTCCTCATATCTATCAAGTTGTCATTTTCTATTTTTATTTTAAAAACAAGAATTATTGGCGATTTAATGCTTCTAATAATCAGAGTACCAACTTGAACTTCTGCTCAAACCGGCATATTATTACAGATGGTAAACATGTTGATGCTTTGATTGAGCGATAATGATGAGTAACTGAAAGCATACGACTGTTAATACATCTTGTTTTACGTATATATCGACGACGCGTAATTATAGTTGCGTTTGTTAATTCTGTAACGTCCCATACTGTTGTGCTGACAGTCATATTCACCCTACTTCACTTATATTGCCAATTATTTGAGAGAAAAGGTTGAAGCGTCGTAGTGTCACACTAGGGAGAGCAATCGTGTAACACTTTTGAGATTTAGCGTTTCAAACGGAGTTTCGGCTTACTCTTACTGGTCTGTAATCTCAGGCGAGTTGGTAATCTTAAAAGGCCTTACGTATTGTTCGTCTAAGCGAACGTATACACGTATCTGGTAAAATTATTATTTCCTCTCGAGATAACTAACTGGTTCTAATTAGTCGGATTCAAACTAAAGTCTACTCAGTTGGGAAAGTTTTCACTAATGTACGCGTAGTTGAATAAGAAATAATAATTTTTCAGGCCGAGAACACGCAATTACGATTGCAAGATTCGTAAATTGCAACCAGAGCCCAGATAACGTTTTCGTTATGACTCCGGCCTTGTGTTAACCTTAGGAATACACTTGCGAAATAAAGAATACAAATTCACTTCAATTATGGACGTTTATTTGTTAAAATATAAAGAACTATTTTAAAAGGACAATTATAAGAAGGGATAGCTGAAGATGGTTGTATTGAGAGGAAACATTGATTAACAATTCGATAATTCAATTCGATAATGCTTGAGCGTCTAAACCGCGCTGCTTATACTGTATATCTAATTTCTGTACGTGCAAAACCATGCCCATATCGGGGTAAGATTACCGGTGCTATATGTTGCCTATATCGGGAGCGGTGCAAAACCATGCCTATATGCGATTATAGCATGTGACATCAATGTGATTAACAGTACTGCAACGGCTTTACCATTGCATTGCTATTATGTTATAATGGGCGAATGTTGTATATAGCTCATGTTTGAGTAACGTTATTTGAAATTACTTTTCCGTTACACCGGAATCTGAGCTGTGCCGTTGATATTGCCGATCGGAAATCACTGAGGAATACGTCATCCATAAGCGTCGATATGACAGTCTTCATACTTTGTAAAAAATTTCTCCTGTTAGGATCATTTAATAGTATCCAGTAAATAAGTAAGCAAATTGGATTATTTATTTATTTTTATAACCTAACGATTGAAGTTAATTAATTATAGTTTTTCGGTAAAACAAAATACGTTAGCGAAATGTATAATTGCTAAAGTAATAAAAGTTATGTACTATTCAATGGCCACAAACATTTTGCTTGTAAACAAGTTATAGCTAATTGTGTATTGACATATCTGCTATAAGTATAGCAAATCAAGTCTGTGAAATAAATACTAAATGCATAGGAGCATTTAGTGTCAGATCCGACGAATAATGATGATGTAATCTTCCGTGATTTTCGCCCTGCTGTACAAACAATCTGCGGCGAACGCAGTAGACGCCAGTGACAGAAGAAATGAATATATTAGGCGAACAATAGAAAAGTGACAAGAGATTAAGCGAACAGTGTCATCACAACATTACTTAATGTGACATTAGTTCTTGTCATTTAACGTAGTACTTAATATTTCCTAAATTTCTTGATAAAAGATATCTAAACAACATCTTTCAACTACAAAATCATTTTTAGCTGAACTTTCCAATAATTTTTGCAATAGAATAATTTTTTATATTCTAATAAATTGTGTTAAAACAAACGTACCTATTTCTCTTCGTGTTAATTAATTCTGCTAAAAGATATAACGCCGGTGTAGTCTCTGATACTATCGAGATACAAAACGTATTCTCCGATCGGCGTTCCTTCAGGTTATACTCGCCCTTAATTTGCCCTTAACCTAGAAGCTGTCTTTCGTGTCAGAATTATTATTTATTTCTTTACGCAAGTTTAGTAGTTTAAATTCTCAATCTAATAGAACATTAGTTTAATACCGTTAATATAAATCGACGTAGATCTCGAGAATAAATAATAATTC